AAGTCATACCATACCCTTAAGGTCTGGTAGGAATATTGAGGAGGGACCCATGTAAAAAAAACAAAAATAAGTGTGTGGGGTTCCTCCTTAAAGTCATGCCAGGCCCTTAAGGTCTGGTAGGAATTTTAACGAGGAACCCCACCCCCAAAAATGGGGGGGGGGGAACGGGGAGTCCCATCAGACCCTTGATCCGAGCATAGGCCTGGAAAGGGGGGGACGAGCGAGCGCTCCCTCCCACACCAGGCCACATGCCCTTGGCACTGGGAGGGTGCTTTTCCAGGGTCGCCCGTGCCGATAGGGACAAGGGCCTCCTCACCACAACCCTGACCCAGGGGTTGTGGAGGTCTGCGGGCAAGGGGGGCTTATTTGCATCGGGGTAACCCTTTAATTAAGGGGGCACCCAGATTTCCCCCCCCCCCCTGTGAATGAGTAAGGGGTACTTGAAAAAATCCTTTATTTTGAAAACAAAAGACAAGTTTTTGACAAGTTATTAAAAAAAATGTTTAAACCCAAAAAATTGATCCACCGACGTAATCCATGGTCAATCAGGACGTCCCACGTTGTCCATGATGACAACGACTCAACGAAATAAAAAATAAAACAATAAATAGAAATAATAATTTTTAAAAAATGCCGACCGCCGTCCCGTCCGCTTGCGACGAACACCCACCGCATAATGGCACTTTGACAGATGCTGGCAAAACATAAACAATTTGGCGGAGCTAGCGGTGACAGCCAGCTTTGCCCAATTGTGTAGTTTGACATTATCTGACAGGTGAGCCATGATTGGGCATAGTCATCATGACTTTGCCCAATCATGGCTCCTACAGAGTACTGAGCCCTGATTGGGCAAAGTCTTGCACCTGACCTGTGGTCAGGTGCAAGCCTTTAGCCAATTAGGGCTTCACAAGGCGCATTGCCTTGTGGGGCGTGAAGCGGTCAAACAGACCGTCAAACCCCCCTATAGTTCGTGTGTTCAGCGAACACATGGACTAGCGATGTTTGTGTCAAACTCACGTTCGACTGGAACATCCAGCCCAACACTATTAGTGAATAGTGTACTTTTTAAAGTTTATCCACTCCGGGTCCTTACATCTAGACAGTAGGGAAGACACCTAGCCCTATTCTTCTAGTTGGTACCAGGTGTACTGATGTAGTGTTAGCAGACAGTCTGTCCACCCTCATGCTCCGTGTGACATATGGTCTCTGATCTTGTTAGTACGGTACCAAGTCTAGGTATTCGACTAGGATAGGAGGTCAACAACAGAGAACAGTTGGCTGGGAGTGGTGGTGGGGGCAGAAAGCATAAATCTGGTCCTGTCTAATACTGAGATAGATCTTAATAATCTCAGGTAAACCTACATTCTCAGTTTTCTCAGGTCATCTGCAAAAGTTATTTTTAGCACCAGCATCTCAGTGCAAGTCTGGAGCTTTTGTAAGCCGGGGTGCTGCGCTTGGTTGTGTGTGATCCACCTTTTAATTGGTCTTTAAGTTGTGTGGAAATGTGAAAATATCACAAACTAAATACAGTGCCAGTGATCAAATCCTAATTGTGGCTGTATACTGAAAATACAAGTCGAAAAAAGGAAGGTAAATGTGTTCGTGAATAAAAATTAAATATTATTAAATATTAAGTTAACAATGTAAATATCGCAAAATATGCGTAGCATATGTAAATGTACCCTGGGAAGAGGTTCTACACAGGTTGCATATGCTGTTTTACCAACGGAAGTTTGTAAGTGCAAAAGCACTTTGTCTATTTTAACTTTAAAATAAACTGCCACTTTCCCATACTATAAAGCATCCAATAATTATTATACATTTGTATACTATGCATTACAGAATACAAGTTCCCTCTATCACTGACACTGGCCAGTGAATAACAGTACAACTATACGTCTCAATGACTCCACATAGAGATACATGCTCTGATGGAGTTGTAAAATAAAATTTGCAACTACCACCATTTTATTCTATTTATATAATGTTGGGGGGTTTTAAGTCATTTTCAGGCCTAAAATGTGGAATATAACATGGGTGCAAAAAATTAAAAAAAGGGGTTAAAAAAAATGGGTGCAAAAAATTAAAAAATGAAGGGGTTAAAAAACATTTATGTTATTCACAAATTGGTTAGGCTTAGTTTCCTGCAGTGTTATATCATTTATTATTTGGTGGTTGTTATTATATGTCATCCTACACAAATGTAATTGTGCCCTTTTCTTTTCTTTATTCTAGGAAACAAAGGAGATTGTGGCGATCAAGAAGTTTAAAGATAGCGAAGGTAAGTCTTCTACTTTGTTTATCCCTTGTGATACTATTTAGGATTAGGCCTCATGCACACAAGTGTATTCAAATACTTCTGTCTACGCTGTAGCTTTCTTCCAGAAACTGGCAGAGAAATCCAGCGTAAAAAAATAAGCATTTGGTGTGTCATTTCATACATTTATGCACATTTACAGACATATGCGTGTAAACTATTTCTGTTGGCTAGAATATTAATTTATTTTAGCCACTAGAATGAAGTTACTTGCATAGACATGTGTTTATGCCCATAAATTGTGCCAGTTAGGACCCATTTACAGGCGTCTAGTGGAATGCGGCTGGGGATTCCTGCAGCTCGCGATAAATGATTGTCCTTGGATGCAGGCACATTGCGTTTAGGGACAATTCATCTAGCCACAGGTAATTGTCCAATTTATGATTACATGCAGACTGCTGCTGACAGATGCAGCCACTGTCAGCCTGTCAATAACTTGAATGGGTGCAGCAGCCACAACTGTATGGACATGACTGGGATTCCTGCTGCAAGAATCTGTAGGTTCTTGTCGCTGGAATTCCCAGCCACACATAATAGCCCTGTGTGATTGTAGCCTAAGGTTCTCTCCAAACACAGGTTTGGGTCATTTTATTTTTATGCCCCTGAACACTGCTTTAAAAAATGGCTCTAAACATCACAATGTGGTTGAACACATTGACTAAAACACAGTTGTGTTTAGAGGCATAAAAAGAAAATGCCTCTTAAAGTGCAGTTTCTTCTGCCAGTGTGCATAAGGCATTAAAGCAACATTAAACCTACGTTTTTCTATTTTTACTTTTCTTGTAAAAAGTAAAAATAGCCCCCCCCCCCCCCCCCCCTCAGGGGTGCCTCCCTCCCTCCC